GACAGTCGGCCTGCAACGTTCTACGGCTAATGGTCGCGATGCACTATGATAAACCTATTTATAGTAAAGATCAATAAATTCGCACCAGAGGTTCTTTCCTGGCCGCAGAAGGAAGATGCCGCCAGGACAGTAGAGCTCGAGAGTGAGCGCAGCGCATACGCGTCGTGTGCCATAGAGACATAGAGGGAAAGATAGAGGAATAAACGAGGGAGGAGAGGGCAGGGGCGGCAAGGAAGTTGCTTATGCGGAAACCTGCGGCGAGAGGAGGCTGACTCGCGAGGGCATAGGCTCTTCACCCATTGTAGAACTGGGCTGCAGGTAGTTCCCAAGGGTGGAAACAAGTGCTGGGTGGATGATCTACGATCTAGAGAGTTCTGCTTTACCTCGAGGTAGGCACGAAGAGGCACGAAGAGGCACGATCTAGCACGAAATCTCTAAGAAATCCTACCGAGTTAACTAACCTAGCCCAACCCAGTAGCCCAGTAGCAAGGGAAGACGCACGTGTGAATTTGCGTTACGAACAGTCGAATCTTCTCGCATCGATAGTCGATGAATCGATCGATCTTACTTCTCAAGAAACCGCGTCTACTTGGCGTCTCCTTCTTCTTCTTCTTCTTCTTCTTCTCCCGTTACCCGCTACACGCCGCACCGGGACTCTGAGTAAATAAGCCGCTGCTGCCCTCAAGAGAACCTTGCTTGCCATCCTCGGCAGCATGAATGCCAACTGCAGGAGACGGGATCGAGCGGAGAGAAACGAGAAGCGGATTTACGGGAGCTCAAAGAGAGCTAGGTCCTCGGGGTTGGGATTGGGCCCGAGACTCGGACTCGGGCCCTAAATGCCATATGGCCTTAGTTTTCGTCTTATGGTGCTCCTCCTTTCTTCCTGTGCCTTTCTCTAGCGCTAGAGAATCAACCCACAATCTCCATCTTTGTACGAGCGTTCGGGGTTCTTAAAGAAAATCGTTTCTCTATATCGTCGATTCGAGACTTTCCTTTGCATCTTGCGATTTCGATCGATCAATCGACTCGCTCTGTTCGCTGTTGACGCGCAGCCAGAGATTACTTGAGAGTTTCTGGCCACGATGTTATCACCGCTGGGCTGCCGATAGTGAAATTATCGCGAGGCCTGAGCTACTGGTGCTGCGCTCTACTCATATACATGTACAGTAGTATGGTTACGTAGAGAAGGAATTCAGCGAAGCAGGCAGAGTAGTTGTATATCGTAGGTAGCTGGAAGCGCTGAAGGTGCGCTCAAGGTATTGGAGGCATCGTGGGACGATGGGACGATGGGACGATGGGACGATGAGTGAAGGGGCCTTTGGCTGAGCAACGCGCATCGCCAAAAGCCTGGACGGTGTTCTAAGCGTAACACACGCGGGGATAACGGGGATAACGGGGATACAGGCGATACAGGCAATACGAGCAATACGAGCAATACGAGCAATAGATATTCGGCGACGTGTGTTGGATCGTAGGATTCCGCTATTAGTATGGCCCGAGGTGGCACGTAGGGAGGAGGCATTATGTATCACATATGCTGCGCCTCGCGCTCCACGAGTCTCTCGGTATCTCGGTCTCTCGACGGGCGTGCGTGAGTGTGCGCGAGTGCGTGTGCGCTGGCTGACACTACGTTACGCGTGTAATAATGCAAGTACGCCTGTGGAGATAACGTCTACGGACGATCCTATGGGCAGCACACATATGTGCTTCCCAGCTACTAATGCTAATCCCAACTATAGATTACCGAACGCGTACAGTGACGATCAACTGATTGCGAGGATCGAAACCCCATTGGCCCAACGGCGCGCTCTTTCTTTCTCTCAGCGAGGGAGATCGAATCGGATCGATTCATTTTCTCCAGATATACTTATAGACTTCTCGGCGATCCGACATACATTCTGCCAATCTACGTATGATACTATACCTCGACAACATCTTTCTCTCTCCCTGCTTCTATTTGTTTCGTGCGGCAGTACTTGACGGCAAAAAGGAAGAAAAGAAAATGAAGGAACCTTAAGGAAGCGCGTCCAGGCGCACATGACGCAGCCGCACACCCGCACACCCGCACCACCCGCACCACCCGCCGCACCACGGCCGGGAGAAAATCACAGAGAAGCAGAGGCGCAGCCACTTGTCGCTCAATTCGACGCTAAAAACAATGAGCTTCGAGACTGGAGCCAGGTCGCCGTCCCATTTATATCAATTCTATTCATTGCCGCTTTTAACCGAGCGGTCGCACACGGGATCGCGCCAGCAGGGGATCTCAATTGCCCCTCCGCCTGCTCCCCTCCCGCACTCCTTCGATCCCATGGTGGACTGCAGATTCAAAGCCGCGAGTAAAGAGGAGGATTCGATAATGCGCCGATGTAGCCGGCAGCCCATATCGGTTCCGACGACTCGAACCAATTAATCGCTGAATCCCGAGGATGACCGAAACGAACCGACCGCTGGACCCGTGAGATCGGAAGACGCGCGCGCCGTACAACTTTCACGTTTCCATTTTTTTCTCACGTCCTCCTCCTCCTTTTTGCCTTAATTGACCGACAACTCCGGGCCGCCCGGTGGGAGAGGCTCCTCGTACGTGTCGAATTAATGAGAGAAACGTCAGGACTCACAATGTGCGGGGCTACCTTCTACCTTCTACCTTTTGCCTTCTGCCTTCTACTGGCTACTTTCGTGTCTCGTTCCTTGTCCCTAGTCTCTCTTCGTGTTTCTTTGTGCCTCCACTTAAGAGATGGAATAAGTTTCGAGAAGGTCTCGTCGCCCAACCTTCTTTTCCTTCCTTCAGTCCCATTCCACCCCCCCCCCCCCCCC